TAAGTGTGATCGTGGAGATTTTTAAATTAACAATAATAGTTCACTAATCCAACCTACTTGTTCTATATTAACCTGTCCTTTGAGGTAAAATAATTTAGTTTACAACAGGCTAGGTCACTCCGTCATGCACAGCTGCTTTAAAAAATGACCAAAAATCCTCCCCATTTTTTCTCCAGGATTAACACATCAAACAGCAATTCCTGGGAGTTATTTGGCAAAGACATCTTATTAGTTGGAGCAGACGTGACCAACTTCCTGGTTTACAACATTTTAATATTATTCAGGCCTGACTATTACACGAAAAGAATCTTTTCCTCTAATTCATAATACTGATTAATCGTGAGATCAATTTTCAGTCTCCATTCTACACATTACTAAATAATCTGCCTCCTATTTGTTATAATATAATTTGTATGAATCATATCTATTTCCCTAAAGCATCTAATAACAAGTTTAAATCATCATTTATCCACAGTTTCTTGATGAACATCAAAATGGTATAGCATACCGAAGGTTGGTAGGTCAAGACACATAGGCAACTAGTTAGGGCAAAACTTTATTCCGAAATGTTTTGCCGTACACAGTAGCTGTCTTCAGTCGAAGACAGAAAGTAGGCAAGGAACAGTAGGAGATGTGAAGACGATGTAATCAGTCCCCGTCCACCCTTGAAAATTCGTAGAATTTGAGGTTTTCAGCCCCTCGGCCGTGGATAAGTTCAGTTCCATGACTATGGAACAGAAGCTCCCAGCGAGGGACTGACAACCTCAATTCCTACGACTTCAATGGGTGATGGACTGAATAACATCTTCGTTCACATCTCTACTGTTCCTGCCTACTTTCTGTATTCGACTGAAAAGCCCTAACTGTGTATTCTAAACGTTTCGTAATAAAGTTTGCCTAACTGTTGCCTATGTGTCTTAGGATTTCTTGATTCATTAGATTCCAAACACTTATTATATGCCTTGGTTTACATGAACTTATTCTAGCCTGTATTGATGACTTTTTTAACCCCCCCCCTTTACTCTATATTCCATTATGTTTGTCTTCTATATAATTTCCTCATTTTCATCCATGATGCAATGTATTAAATTCAACATAATAACTCTGATTATGTACTAAATTATTGCAGTTATAAAGGAGAAATGTACAACTTACCTTTAAATAAATTCTAGCTACTTTGAGCTTAGTACAATCATGTAAAAAATTGTAATATAAATTTTAAAGTACACATTCATAATGTTAGCTAACACTTGAGCTTAGCAATTAACACCATGTAAGAAATTGATATAAAAATTTTAAATGTACATTAATAACAAAGCTTTAGCCACCGTTGGCATAATCAAAATAATTATACAACTAAATAATAATCCTTGCCAGAGAATTTGGCATAGCAAAATTAATAATCTACACAATAATATAATTAGCAACTACTTGCTATCAATTACCCATACATTGATATAAAATCTGGCCAGAAATGTCTTATCTAAATTAATATTGGGTAATTAGTTAAAATCCACTATCAGCATTAAGGTAAAATTAATATTAAGCACATTAATATAATTAGCAACACCTGCTTATCAATTACACATACACTGATATAAATCTTGGCCAGAAATTGTCTTACATCAAATAATTATTATACAAGATTAATATAAACTTAGCCAGACTTGACTTATCAAAATTATATTGTAATAATTATAATCCACGTACTCATTAAATAAATTTGTAACTTACATCCACCTCCATCTGTCATATTCACATATAATTATTAAGTAATTAACCATTAATGACTTCACTAATTACCTCCGGTTCCAAGAAGGACCAACGGCAAACTTAAATTGTGAAAATGGCATTTATCTTAATGTAACGAATTATGTAACATAACAGTAAATGATAACAAAGATAATTATTATTTATCAGAGTTTACATAGACAAGTAGGTATTTGGGACACCTAGGTCCACAAAAAATGTCCCCCTCCGATACCTACCCACTGTCATATCCACAAGTTGCTCTGGATCTATTAATTAAATGAAATATACATACATCCAGAATACTGGTAAATAATATAAATTTGAGGACTGTATATTAAAAATAATAAATGTTTCTATATAAACACAATTACAATAAACAGAAGGAAATATATCTTAAAATCACTCACCATTTGTGACTGGAGATTAATTGTATCATACACAGAAAGCCTCATTCAAGACAAAATTTATTAAACCACAGGCCAGAAGTATACACAAATCTATAGAGCTTATCTTAGGTTTCATGTAGCTGTCTTGTCAGTCGTCTGACATCCTCAAGTATATGCGGAATGCACATCCAAGAATTTCGCCTGCCATATATGATGGAGTGTCCAATTCCGAATTTTAACCTCTATAGCTACGAAAAATATCTTCCCATTTATATTAAGTTGTCTCCAATTCAAAACCAAGATGGCGAGTCTCGTCCTCGCAGACGCAGGGCTATCGTTTTCTATGACATAAAGATAATTAAATACAGTATGGCCATCTATTTACAATAAAATACTGAATTTCTGGTAAAATCTATTCAGTAATTTCTACCGCAGTCCATTGATTGTCCCATCGCCTGATATCTAAAGTTAGGCAGGAATGCACATCCATAACAATTTCGCCTCTCCTATTTGAGAGGTGTCAGCCCAATTTTAACCTCAGATTCACGGGAAATTCCTTCGCCATTACACTACGTTGTATCCAATTCAAATTAACAATGGCGACTCCTCCTTCTGAGCAGACCAGGCTTTACCGTTTTCAATAACATAAAATATTATTAAATACAGTATACCATCTATGTAAAATTTTTGTACTACCACCCCCACCATGGGTTATGTATGGGGGGTTTCTTGTTAGTTAACATTCATTTACCTATTACTGTAAAGATGATCCTCTCTATTTAATGTTCATAAAAGTTATAACTCAGTTCACATTTATTCTTATTGCACCTACTTTTACCGTACTGCTTTTCACACAGCTAAAGTACTTATCTACTTAATTTATTAAGGTTATAAGTCATGACTAACCTCTGCTGTAACTTACAGGTAAGGCTTTAAATACTAAGATATTATATGGACTCCCAATGTAAATAAGTCCCACCTCGTCCGACTTTATCCTATTAATATACACATATGTTACTATAACGATAAAATGTAGTCACATAATTTATGTAACTGTACCTACGTGTACCTGTACCTGAATAAAACTTACTTAACAAAGATATAAAACCTAAAGCTCATCCCTTCACCCGGCATGGTGTCCGGATTCGATTCCCGCGAGTGAAAAAACAATGGACGTGTTTTCTCTAAACTGGTTGTCTATGTTCACCCATCACAGACAGAGTAAAGTCCGAGGCAGCTACGGTGAAAAGCCTGTTCCACAAGACACAGTACTCCGCTCCCCATCTTGTTCCTCATCCTCATATCCGACATAGACAAGGATGTCAGCCACAGCACCGGTCTTCCTTTGCAGATGACACCCGAATCTGCATGACAGTGTCTTCCATGTGCAGACACTGCAAGGCTCCAGGCGGACATCAACCAAATCTTTCAGTGGGCTGCAGAAAACAATATGAAGTTCAACGATGAGAAATTTCAATTACTCAGATATGGTAAACACGAGGAAAATAAATCTTCATCAGAGTACAAAACAAATTCTGAGCCACAAAATAGAGCGAAACACCAATGTCAAAGACCTGGGAGTGATCATGTCGGAGGATCTCACCTTCAAGGACCATAACATTGTATCAATCGCATCTGCTAGAAAAATGACAGGATGGATAATGAGAACCTTCATAACTAGGATGCCAAGCCCATGATGACACTCTTCAGGTCACTTGTTCTATCTAGGCTGGAATATTGCTGCACACTAACAGCACCTTTCAAGGCAGGTGAAATTGCTGACCTAGAAAATGTACAGAGAACCTTCACGGCGCGCATAACGGAGATAAAACACCTCAATTACTGGGAGCGCTTGAGGTTCCTAAACCTGTATTCCCTGGAACCAGGCGGGGAGAGATACATGATTATATACACCTGGAAAATCCTAGAGGGACTAGTACCAGAACTTGCACACGAAAATCACTCACTACGAAAGCAAAAGACTTGGCAGACGATGCAACATCCCCCAATGAAAAGCAGGGGTGTCACTAGCACGTTAAGAGACCATACAATAAGTGTCAGGGGCCCGAGACTGTTCAACTGCCTCCCAGCATACATAAGGGGGATTACCAACAGACCCCTGGCAGTCTTCAAGCTGGCACTGGACAAGCACCTAAAGTCAGTTCCTGATCAGCCGGGCTGTGGCTCGTACGTTGGTTTGCGTGCAGCCAGCAGTAACAGCCTGGTTGATCAGGCTCTGATCCACCAGGAAGCCTGGTCACAGACCGGGCCGCGGGGGCGTTGACCCCCGGAACTCTCTCCAGGTAAACTCCAGGAAAATGGATACCTGGGTGTCAGTCGACTGGTGTGGGTCGCATCCTGGGGCAAAACTGACCTAATTTGCCCGAAATGCTCTGCATAACAAAGAGCTTTCTATATAGTAGTATGTCATTAATGTCAACTATGTCTGTACACCTTGTACATGTACTTGTAGTAAATAAAGATATTATTTTATTATTATAAATGCCACGGTTATTTTACGGCTTTGTTATAGCCGGTCACTACCCTTCCTGGGTATAGGTGACCCTGGCCAGGTTTACCAGGATCATCATGACTATATCTGGAAAATGCACATTTTTAAATATTTAACTTTTGTTTTTATTCCCATGTTTAACTATATTTATGTAGTATTTGAGGTATTTTCACCTGAAGACCTTGAGTCAGAGGTTGAGTACGGCTCACACTCTACCATCACTTTACTACACAAAACACTTAACTTGTTATTAATAAAAATTATCATGGAAGGAGACGGATGTCGTCTCAATTTCCTTGACCTACCAGAAATAGTAGTGGAAAAAATACTCAGTTACCTCAGCTATGAAGAATTGTCTCACCTGAGAATAGTAAGTTAAAATAAGTGGTGTTGGAGAATGTTCTGGCATGATACATCTATAACTTACCTACTAAACCTATACTATTAAATATTTTAATTTATGACTTGACAGAAGGTTGCTAGCAAAGTTATCATGATTTATTATAACATTGTTATAAGTTAAAGATATCTCAGGGGAGGTTACTATTAAATAATTTATGACATGACAGAAGGTTGATAACGAAGTTACCATGATTCATTATAATACTGTTATATCTCAGGTTCCTTGATGCAGGTGAGGGGCTCTTGATCTAAGGAATTGGAACAATACTCCAGTTTTATTTGAATCAAAATCCCCCAAATTCCTTTCTAGAGGCCTAAACGTTGTAGCTTCATAGTTGGATAATACTGATAATGGGGGGTGTGAGTTAAGACCTGATATTGTCAACAGGTGCCTATTTAAGATGTATGAGACTGACATGGCATTGGCTTAAGCTAGATTGGCCCCCTCCTCCCCTGGGGTACTTGATTTTTAGTTTAGGTACTCCCCTTTGTATTTACAGATTTAGGCCCTTCATTCCCCCTATAGTGTATGACTAGATTGGCTCAGCCCTGTGGTTTATTATCTCCGAAATTTAAAAAGGGTCAAACGCATTGTGGTATGATCTAGATTTAGGCTCACCCCCTGTGGTATGATCTAGATTTAGGCTCACCCCTTGTGGAATGATCTAGATTTAGGCTCACCCCCTGTGGTATGATCTAGATTTAGGCTCACCCCTTGTGGGAATGATCTAGATTTAGGCTCACCCCCTGTGGTATGATCTAGATTTAGGCTCACCCCCTGTGGTATGATGATCTAGATTTAGGCTCACCCCCTGTGGTATGATCTAGATTTAGGCTCACCCCCTGTGGTATGTTTTGTTTAAAGGGTCACCCCCTGTGGTATGATCTAATTTTAGGCTCAACCCCCCGTGGGATGATCTAGTTTAGGCTTCCCCCCCCTGTGGGGAAAGATTTAGATTAGGCTCACCCCCTTTTGGGGATTATATCTAGATTTTTGGCTACCCCTTGTGGAATGATCTAGATTTTAAAGGGTCACCCCCTGGGTAAAGATCTAGATTAACTTTACCCCCCTGTGGTTGATGATCTAGATTTTGGGTCACCCCCCTGTGGTATGATCCCAGAATTAGGGTCACCCCTTGTGGAAAGAACTAAAATTTTGGCTCACCCCCCGTGGTAAAATCTAGATTTAGGCTCACCCCCCGTGGGGTGATCTAATTTTGGGTCACCCCCCCCCGTGGTTTTGGGTTTTTTGGGTTAGGCCCCACCCCCCGTGGTAAATTTATCTGATTTTAAAGGGCCCCCCCCATGTGGTATGATGGGGCTAGATTTTGGCTCACCCCCTGTGGTGTGATCTAATTTAGGCTCACCCCCTGTGGGGTTTTATTTTTAGATTTTTGGGTCACCCCCCTGGGTTTTAAGATCTAGAATTTTGGGGTCACCCCCCGTGGGAGATTTGGGCAAAATTTAGGGTCACCCCCTGTGGTATGATCTAGATTTAGGGTCACCCCCCTGTGGTAAAAATTCTAGATTTTTGGGTCCCCCCCGTGGGATGAAGGCCCAATTTTGGGTTACCCCCCGTGGTTTTTATGGTTTTAGAAATTTGGGCCCCCCCCTTTTGTTAAAGGTCCCAAATTTAGGGTCACCCCCTGTGGTATGATGGTCTAGATTTGGCTCACCCCCGGGTATTATGGTCAATTTAGCTCACCCCCTGTGGTAGATGGCTAAAATTTAGGTCACCCCCTTGGTATGATGGTCCCAGAATTTTGGCTTATCCCCTGTGGGATTAAACTAGATTTTGGGTCAAACCCCGTGGAAAGTGGTCTTGAATTTTGGCCCCAAACCCCCCTTTGGGAAAGATGGTCTGAATTTTGGCTCACCCCCCCCGTGGTATGATCCCAATTTGGGGTCACCCTCTGTGGTTTTGAACTAGATTTTGGCCTTTTACTCCCCCGTGGTATGGGTGAACTAGATTTTGGCTCATCCCCATGGAATGAAGGTTTTGATTTAGGCTCACCCCCCTGTGGTAAAAGATGGTCTAGAAATTTTCGCTCACCCCCTGTGGTTTTGATGGGCTAATTTAAGGTCACCCCCTGTGGTTGATGAACTGGATTTTGGCTCACCCCCCTGTGGAAAGATGTTTGATTTAGGCCACCCCCTGTGGGGATGATGGTCAAAAATTTTGGCTCACCCCCTGTGGGATACATTTTAATTTTGGCTCACCCCCTGTGGTAAAGATGGTCAATTTAGGCTCCCCCCCCTTGGGGGTATGATGGTCTTTTTTAGGGCCCCCCCCGTGGTAAGAGGGAGAATTTGGCTCACCCCCTGTGGGATGAAACCCAAATTTTGGCCCCAAACCCCCTTGGTAAAGATCAAATTTTTGGCTCACCCCCTGGGGGTAAGAAAGGTTTTTGATTTTTTGGGTCACCCCCCCTTGGGGGATGATCTAGATTTTGGCTCACCCCCTGTGGGATGATGGTCCCAGATTTAGGCTCACCCCCCCGTGGGAAAGATGGGCCTTTGATTTAAGGGGTCAAAACCCCTTTTTGGGGGATGATGAAAGATTTTTTGGCTTTACCCCTGTGGGTGATGGTCTAGATTTAAAGGGTCACCCCCTGTGGTAAGGGTCTAATTTAGGGTCACCCCCTGTGTATGATTTCCCAGATTTAGGCCACCCCCTGTGGTAAAGATGGGGCTAATTTAGGCCTTTACCCCCTGTGGTATGAGGCCGATTTAGGCCAGCCCCCCCGTTTAGATGGTCTAGATTTTGGGGTCACCCCCCTGTGGTAAGAAGGTCCCAGAAATTAAAGGGTCACCCCCTGTTTGGGATGTTGGGGCCCAAAAAATTTTTTTTTTTGGGTCACCCCCCTGTGGTAAGATGGTTCCAAAATTTTTGGGTCACCCTCTGGGTATGATTGGGCTAGATTTAAGGGTCCCCCCTCTGTGGTATGATGGGCAAAATTTAGGCTCACCCCCCTGTGGTAAAGGGGCTAGATTTTGGCTCACCCCCTGTGGGATGATGGGCTTTGATTTAGGCTTTACCTCCCTTGGTATGATGGCTAAAATTTTGGCCTCACCCCCCCTTTGGAAAGGGGGGGTCTAGATTTTTGCTCACCCCATTTTTAAAAAAGTCTAGATTTAGGACACCCCCTGTGGTTTTGATGGTCCCAATTTTGGCTCACCCCCCTGTTTTTCATGGCTAAATTTTTTGCTCACCCCCCTTTTGGTATTTGGTTTTGATTTTTTTTTGGGTCACCCTGTTGGTATGAAAGGTCGAGATTTAGGCCCCACTCCCCTGTTTTATGAGGTCTAGATTTTTGGCCCCACCCCCTGTGGTTTATCAAGATTTAGGTTCCAAACCCCCCGTGGTATGATGGGCCCCGATTTTTGGCTCACCCCCCCTGTGGTATGAGGGCTAGATTTTGGCTCATCCCCGGTGGGAATGGACAGATTTTTGGCTCACCCCCCTGTGGTAAAGATGGTCAGATTTAGCTCACCCCCCCTGTGGTAAAGAGGGCCCAGATTTATGCTCACCCCCCTGTTGGGATGAGGTCTAGATTTAAAGCTCACCCCCCCCCTGGGATGATGGTCAGATTTTTGGCCCCACCCCCCGTGGTTGATGGCTAATTTAAGGGTTTACCCCCTTTAGGTATGATAGCCTAGAAAAAAGGCTCCAACCCCTCATGTGGGAAAATGGTCTAGCTTTACTCACCTCCAAAGGAAAGATGGTCAGATTTTTGGCCCCACCCCCTGTGGGGATGATGGTCTACGAAAATTTGGCCCCAAAACCCTGTGGTATGTGGCCCAGATTTTGACTCAAACCCCCTGTGGTATGATGGCTAGGAAAATTTGGGTCACCCCCTGTGGATGAAAAGGTCTTGATTTTGGCCACCCCCGTGGTTTTGATTGGGGCCCAGATATAGGGTTTAACCCCCCTTTTGGGAAGATGGGTCTAGATTTTTAAAAAAAATTTTCCCCTCACCTGCCTGTGGGGATAGGGGGTAGATTTAAAGGCCTTTACCCCCCTGGGGGTATGATGGTCTAGATTTAAAGGGTCCCCCCCCCCTGTGGTATGATGGTCTTTGTTTTGGGGGTTCAACCCCCCTTTAAAGATGGTCTTTAAATTTTGGGGTCACCCCCCTGTTTGGGATGAGTTTTAGATTTAAAGGGGGCACCCCCTGGGGTTTTGAAAGGTTTTAGATTTTGGCCACCCCTGTTGGGATGAAAATCCAAGAATTTTTGGGTACCCCCTGTTGTAGATGGGCTGATTTAGGCCCCACCCTCCTGTGGGATGAAGGTCTAGTTTAGGCTCACCCCCTGTGGTAAGATGGCCAGATTTTGGCTCCCCCCCCTGTTATGAAAAGGGCCCAATTTTGGCTCACCCCCGTGGTGTGATGGTCCAAAATAGGCTCACCCCCCCCGTGGTAAAGATGGTTTTAGATTTGGCTCACCTGCCTGTGGTATGATGGTCTAGATTTAGGGGTCACCCCCCCTTTTGGTTTTGATTGGGTCCCAATTTTTGGCTCACCCCCCTGGGGGATGATGGCTAAATTTTGGGGTCACCCCCTGGGTAAAGTGGTCTTTAAATTTTGGCCCCCCCCCTTTTGGGATTGGTCCAGATTTAGGGTCACCCCCTGAGGTAAAGGGTGGGCCCGATTTAGGGTCACCCTCCCCGTTTGGGAATGGTCCCAGATTTGGCTCACCCAAAGGTTTGGGATGAGGTCTAATTTTTAAGGGCCCCCCCCCCTTTGGTATGAAAAGGTTTTAGATTTTGGGCCCCCCACTGTGGAAAAAAAGGGCCCAAAATTAAAGGGTCATCCCCTTGGGGGTATGAGGCAATTTTGGCTCACTCCCCTGTTGGGATGAATTTTCCAAAATTAAGGGTCACTAGTCCAAAGACATTCTTTTTTGCAAATAAACAGGGGCTAAAAACCAGCAACAAAAAACAAAATTTCCTTTCATCCTGGAAAT